AAAAACATTCTCACCCATTTAGATAGAATAGTCGAGATCCAAAAGGAACGTTCAGAATCTAAAACCGATATTAAAGTACATTTTTTAGAAAAAAGAGCCTCAAAAACCAATCCAAGTTAATGAGCAGTAGTAGTAATATCCACCCCCATGTTAGTGCGATAGGGTTTCCTCCCCAAATCAAAAATTACGCGTTAAATTTGAATGGATACCAAAGATCAATACTGAATAAAGGTCCTGCTTATGTTCAAGCTAACCCTAAAACGGCACTTCGCCGCCTGTCATATGAAGTAGAGGCCATGCGAGATAAGATACAGCTCAGATTTAATGAAAATATACGTGCACGAAACATCCCTCGACAAGTAGTAGATAAATTTGCTACTAGAGTTAAGAAAGAAATTTTTGATAGAATTTCCCGTGAAAAGATGGACAAAAGTTTTGAGAAAGCGATTAATTACTTCAAACAGCAACAGAAATATTGAAACACCCTATTGATTACTTGAAGAGAAAAATTATTTAATATTGAAAATTGTAATTCTAAATCCATTTTCGAACTTTTTCTCTCTTCGACTTGTGATCTTTCTTCGGTGACTGTGCTTGATTCTAGTGAGGTAATTGATGGTAAATTACATTAACAATTTCCAATGTTTTGTCGTTTTTCAATCGATTTGAACGAAATTTCAATTAAATCTTTTTTATTTTTTGAAAAGAATGCACGAATATCACCGAAAAATTCTTTTTTGCGAATAATGTTATTGATGAATCCATTTTGGACATACATTTATCTAATTTGTTCGACCATATATTGATAATATCAGCAATGATTTTGAATTTTATTTCGAATTTTCCTTTTGTAAATTCTTCGATTCTTCTTGTAGTTGACTTTTATGTGCTCGAAGATTAAAGATTTTTTCAAATTCATAGAATTCCTTATAATGAAGACTTGAATCTTTGTTTTGTATTCGATCAACCTTTTTTTAAATTTTTTGATTGAAGCCGTAAATTTCTCAATAATTTCAGCAAGTTTACCTTGTTTTGATTTTGATTCATATTCTGCTAATCTCCAAGAAAAATATGTAAATCTGTTTGTAAAACTTTGAAAAAACTGATTAATTGATCTATTATCAAAACGATCGATTGACATTTCAAGTAAATCTGCTAATTCTTCGACAATGATTAAAGGATCATTATGGGCATAAGTTTTGTTTAATATATTGATTATTTTACTTTTCAGAATGTCATCGAATTCAATCGGTAGAATGATATTTTCCAATGTATTTAATTCTTGATTGATTCTGTTGTTTAAATAGATATGACTATTATTCGTAAATTGTTTTTTATCAAGATTTAATTGTAAATCTTTAAGTTTAATTAATATTTCCTTTAAAATATTTTTTGGTCCTTTTTTATCCCCACTGGAAATTTTTAATAATTTTTCATCATTTAATACAATAAATCTTCTTCAATTTTGATTTTAGATAAATCATTAATTAAAAACAGATTTAATCGTTCACTTTCGAGCATGTTTCGTATCTGTTTTAATTTTTCAATCGATAAACCATATTGGTTTTGAATAATATATTTTCCTGTACCTTTATTACCTTTTCTCGCTGTCCGACCAAATGCTTGCATTTCAATCTGTATATTTGTTGGTAAATAAGCTGTAATAACATGTAAACCACCATTTTCTTCTAATTTCTCCGACGTATCTAAATCAGTTCCTCGTCCAGCTAAATTCGTTGAAAGGATAATATCACCTGGATTTAATTGATCGATTTTAAATTTTTCATAAGCACTTTTTATACGTATGAACATTTGGATAAGAATCGGATAAATATTCTTTTAGTATTAAAACACTTTTTACATTTTCACAGGTAATTAAAACAGCTCGTCGTTGATCATGTTTTGTTGATTTCACTCTAATTTGTTTATCTAACGCATTTTGAATTGCTTCAAGCCAATTTTCTTGTTCAGCATAAACACTTCCTTGAAGTTCTTGAAATTATTCTTGACGAAATCTTGGTAATTCAAAAAATCGAAGTTTATATACTTTATTAAAAAGATTTTGTTCATGAAGTGAACCTAAGAACCAGTTCATGGCATGGTCAGCTAGCGGGGTTGCCTTCACTTCAGAAGGTTCGAAGAAAATTTTTGTTTCAAATCGGAGTAAAGATACGTCACTAGACGCTGTTTTACACGCTGATGACGAATATTAGCTTTAAAAGAAATAAACGGTGAATTTTTTGAGTGGAAATTGAAAATGAAATTTTTTCAAATTTTTCAGAAAACTTTCAAACACATAGCACTAGATGAGAGAATCGAAATTCCCTACAAAATGGCTTATTTATTTTTCGATATCTGACGAGTAATAAAACTTTTGGAACTTTGGGTTTGTCATGAAAAATTTTTCGCGCTTATTTTGTAATCAATTTTCTGAAGGGTTACGGTAACTTGATGGAATTTCTTTTGCCTCTTTGGGACAAAAAATACTCGAAACTATATGTTTCACGCAACGTCGGTCTTAATAACAACTCTGACTATTGAAAAGCATTGCCCGAAACCTTCTGTAAAATACAACGGAAAACAATGACGAAATTAGGTCGTGGCTGTATTTCTCGATTGTTTCAGTGCCAGAACGATGTGAGAACAAAAAGGAATCGTGATTCTAATAGTCCAGAATCTAGGCCTTAATTCAGTAACCAGTCGATCTTACAGAAGTGTTTCTATCTCGAGATAATTGAGTTTTATTGGACGCACTCGAAAATTCCGTCACGGCCTCTATTTTTCAAATATCTTCCAATGCATTCGTCTTAGAGAGTTGAACTATTTAACAAATGTAGAATAAAAATATCGGCTTTCTTGTTTGTACGGTTCAAAAGATATTCAAACATCGAATGTTAAAAAAGTGAAATTCCCTTACGCTTGGCCACGTCGCAATGATGCAAAAGAGTCTGTTGATCTGAAGAAGAACGTGATATATCACTTACTATTCCATTTTCTTTTAAAATACAGGAACAGTTTTGATGTTATTCAGTAGTCTAAATTTTGAAAAATAGTTACAATAGCTACCATCCTGACCGATCGAATCCTTTGGGCTAAGAGTATAAATTATGTTCTTGAGTTTCAGAGTTAAGTACTAGGATGATACACTTTAAAAAGCGTTAAGACGGAGGGGTGTCAGAATATCAATACGCAGTGTATGCTCAAAAGCGACTATTCATTTTTAAACTTGCTGGGCTTGGTGTCATTGACAATACACGAGAATACGCAAATATATAAATTTCTATAAAATGTGCTGAGCTTGCTGCGCTTGGTGTATTCTCAATGACATTACACGAGAACGTAAATACATAATGTGGTGGATCTGGCGGCGTGGCTCACTCCCATGCAGCATGTCCGCCCACCCCGCCAAATTTATGTATCTGCGTATTCTCGTGTATTGTCGATGAGAATACACCAAGCCCAGCAAATAGTCTCTTTTTGAGAATACACTGCGTACTAATATTCTGACATCTCTGTTAAGACGTTGAGATAAGTCGCTAGGTAGAAAGATCTAATTTTTTTTCAAATTATTTCTAAGGGATTCTGCATAAAATAATTTCTTAGAGCGAATATTAGTTCAACTTTACAGCCTTTCATTGCAGGGTGGCATAAAAAATTTCAGCCATATTTGAATCTCTCGCTAGGAGTACGGTCAAAATGTCGTATTCCTGCATTTTTTAACTCTAACAAGTATGAGTGGAATTCAGGCCAAACTCGAATGTTTACTACTCCGTAACCAATTTTAAGCTAAATAAATTGAATATTCAGAATCATCACATTTGTTTCGTGAGACTTTCGTAATAAAATATTCATTTGACATTTTGTTTAGGTTCTCACTTGAGCACTTATGCGATGATTTTTACCGAAGGACTCAGAACTAATTTCTTTCTCAAAAACTACTTCATGTTATTCTAGTGTGACTTTACACGAGTGGTTTAATTCTTAAGAAAAAAATTAAAATTTTGAAATTTTATCGTTATTCGGACTAAAATCGAAAGTCCATACACAAATCGTGATGTTGCTTAGCCTTCTGTGATCTGTCAAATGAAACGTTGCTCAAAAAATGTTGTTAGTAATACGCATGAGAATATTAAGTGTTTAATCGTGCCTGCACTGAAATTTTTAGTACTGAGCAACAAAAGACGTTAAAACCAGACGCATCTCACTTTATTTGGGAAACTAAATGTGATTCAGTGTGTTATGTTAAGCTGCATTCTGAGGGTCTCACAAGTCTATGTTGAAATTCTTTTTTCGTTTTTGACCAGTAGCATCAGAGAATAAATGTACATAGTTGTCCTGCCACAAATCAACGCAGCGCCTCCTATATATGATATATATACGATATTATCGCCATACTAAGGTGGGGAATAATGAGGAACATAGAAAAACTGCAGCTCGCCTGCCGTAGATGAAAAGATGTATACCGGATATAAATCCCATACAAGCCTACTGAGGTTAAATTAGACACAGTCCTACAGCCGCGTAAGGATTTTTCGAAGGGAGGAGCAAAAAGTCAATTTTTCATCGAGTGGTTCCTACAGAACTGCTTTTCGCTAAGACTTATTTTTTCCTTTTAAGAAGTTAGATAGTTAGGATGAATTTTCATCGGATGTGGTATGAAATGGTTTTCTAAGAAGGGTGCCCATGGCTCAACCTCAATCCTTTGGTGGCTACGGCGCTGCCCTGCAGTCCTACTTTACAGCAAGATAATATAGTTCAGGTAACGAGTCAATATTGTCTTTTCTACTGTCTACTATTTCTCTTTTGCAATGTTAATATTCTATCAGAGTTGACAAGAGGGTGATGATTAACATAATTTTTCACTCAAAAGCTTAAGAGAGGTGAACTTTTGTTTTCTTTTCTCTTCGTGCAATTGTCTCATTGGTTACTTTAAGTGGTATTATGTTTCTTTGTTGGAAAAAACCCACGTTCAGCTTACTATATAAGGAGCATCTGAATTTACAATAAATGTCTGTCTTTTGACATGAAATATAAAGAAAACATCATCATCTGCTACGTGGTCATACATCATCGTCTGCTACATACACTCAAAGATTTAATGCAACATCAATACAAACATGTACTTAAGACCAGACCCGGTGTTCCATCAACCAACCGTCACAAGACAACCACTCACTTACATGACAACTGAACCTAGTAGACTTCATGAAGTAATATCATTCATGATTAATAATGAATGTAAGTGAAGAATAAAAGTTGGTATAAGAATCGTGGAATTCAATCAATGTTCGAAAAAGTTGTGACAATAGATTAACTGATTTAGGTAATGATTTGAATGTAAGATATGAACGGAAGTAAAAACAGTGTAGTTTCTGATAAGAAGCTATGTGGTTGAATGTTAAAAAAATATGATTAAGTACGATTTTGAAAAAAAATTGTCAATTTTAACGTTTACTGAAGGAAAATAATTCATCCACTTTGTAGGTAGTATAAGACACTTTTGAGTTTTAAGTAAAATCTATCACCATTTCTTGCTTTACTAAAGCCTCCAAAACTTGTCTAAAGGTTTATTTTCATTCATGTTGAGATATCAGTTGGTAAATTGTGATAATTTTAGGGTTTCGTGTATGAGTCTTTATGAAACTGGCGTGCATATCATTGGTGACGAATGATGTGAACGTTAAATTTCGTAGAGACCGATGCGGTAAACCCTGAAATTCCGTCTTTTCAGATCTTTATGTGTTTTGTTAGATGAAATTTGGAGACAATTATGTGAAAAATGAAACGTGATGTTTTTACTTTTCTCTCAAAAGTGGGCACATGCTGCCGTTGATAAATAAAAAACCTCAAACTCTGATGCTAACGAAAAGAAAAAAACGATTTTTATGTGTTTCGTATATATATATTTCTCTTGTTCTTTTTTTTTGTTGGAAGTGTAATATGTGTGGGCATGATGCAAGAAGAAAGATTGTGTATGGGGAAAAGAAACAGTGAAATTATTCATTTTTTATGTAGGAGTTTGAGTAATAAAAATATCATATGTCAAATAATATCTTACGAGGGAGGGTCAGTCTGTTTTTGACTTAAGCAATGGAACTACAGTTATTCGACGAACTACAGTTATCGGGCTTTGGAGAACCGTTTTTAGAAAATGATGATTGCATGTAGACTATTGTTTTTAATAAAAGACGCTGAGCACGTTACTTCCCAGTCAGTCATAGTCATTCCAGAAAAGCGCAGGAGACTCTGTTTACGAAAAATTTCACGCGTTTAGCGAGCTTTGAATAATAAAGCGAAAGAAGTTGCGAATATGTAAAAATAAAACGCAGGAACACGCCTGTAAAGCCTTTGTTTCCACGGCAACGTGCGTTTCCTGCGGTTTATTTTTACACACTCGCAGCGTCTTGCGCGTTATTATTCGAAACTCGCTAAACGCGTGAAAGAGATCATCGACAAAAAGAGAAAATAGGGTATTAGGCTTGAGGCATTCTGCAATGTCATTTATGAATATCAAAAAAAGCAAAGGGCCCAAATTCGATCCTTGCGGAACGCCAAATGATACTAATATTGCTTGGGAAAGTAGGTTGTTAATTTTCACCCTCTGAGTTCGCCCATTAAGATATGACCCGAACCAGTCGAAAAGTTTCTCATCAACACCTGCTGAATTTAATTTTGAAAGCAGAATTTGGTGAGGAACTCTATTAAAGGCTTTCATAAAGTCGAATGCAACTCCAGCCATTTTTACTTTCTTGTCTGCGAAAGACGAGAAAATTGAGTGCATCGACAGTGGATGAATTAGCTCGGAAGCCAAA